TTACCTCACAGGGTGTCTGTTGTGGGGAGGGGAAGGGAAAGCAGTTTGTAAGCCGCTCTGAGACACCTTTGGGTAGTGAAGGGCAGGGTATAAATCCAATCTCTTCTTCCTCTTCCTCCTCACAGGGTGTCTGCTGTGGGGAGGGGAAGGGAAAGGAGTTTGTCAGCCGCTCTGAGACTCCGAGTGGTGGGCCATAAATCCAATCTCCTCCTCCTATTCCTCCTCTTCTTCTCATTGCGGACCCCATCATAGACAGCTCTTCTTTCTCTCTTTCCACCCCACCTTTCGGGGATTTTAGGAGGCAGAGTCCCTGCTGCAGGAGGACGGAGAGTTCCTGATCCGTGACTCGCGGTCCAGCGCGGGAGACTATGTCCTCTCCTGCTCCTGGGGCGGCCAGGCCCTGCACTTCAAGATCATCCGGGTGGTGCTCCGTCCCCGGAAGGGTTACTCCCGCACCCTCTTCCAGTTCGAGCAGGAGCAGTTCGACAACGTGCCGGCCCTGGTGCGCTTCTACGTGGGCAACCGGAAGGCCGTCTCGGACACCTCGGGAGCCGTGGTGTCCCGGCCGGTCAACAGGAGCGTGCCTCTCCGCTGGCTGGAGGAACGCCACGGGGACTCCAGCCAGCCCTCCAGATTGGTCAAGAAGGACGGAGCGCCGGCCCGACGGCTCAGTTTCCGCGCCGCCACAGCCAGTGAGGAAAGGGTGGAGGCGAATCTGCTCCGGTACGGAAACCACTGAGGTGAACGCGTAGAAGGTGTGGGCGGAAGGGGACGGTGAGGGGTAAGATGTGGCCTGATAAGTTCAGAACTGTTGAGGTAGGCAAGACCTTGGTAGCCTTCGCCCACTTGCTGTGTCTCGGCCTCAGTTCCCTGCTTATAAAAAGGGAATGATGTGAGGTCAAATGGTGGGGCGGGGCTGTGGCTCAGCGGAATAACCTCTGCTTGGCACGCAGGAGGTCCCTGGGTCAATCCCCGGCATCTCCAGTTAAAAAGGACCAGGCAGGAGGTGATGGGAAAGACCTCCACCTGAGACCCTGGAGAGCTGTAAAGAGGGGCTGTGGCTCAGTGGCAGAGCCTCTGCTTGGCATGCAGAAGGTCCCAGGTTCAATCCCCGGCATCTCCAGTTAAAAGGACCAGGTGGTAGGTGATGAGAAAACCCTTGGCCTGAGACCCTGGAGAGCTGTAAAGAGGGGCTGTGGCTCAGTGGCAGAGCCTCTGCTTGGCATGCAGAAGGTCCCAGGTTCAATCCCCGGCATTTCCAGTTAAAAAGGACCAGGCAGGAGGTGATGAGAAAACCCTCGGCCTGAGACCCTGGAGAGCTGTAAAGAGGGGCCGTGGCTCAGTGGCAGAGCCTCTGCTTCGCATGCAGAAGGTCCCAGGTTCAATCCCCGGCAGCATCTCCAGTTAAAAAGGACCAGGCAGGAGGTGATGAGAAAACCCTCGGCCTGAGACCCTGGAGAGCTGTAAAGAGGGGCCGTGGCTCAGTGGCAGAGCCTCTGCTTCGCATGCAGAAGGTCCCAGGTTCAATCCCCGGCAGCATCTCCAGTTAAAAAGGACCAGGCAGGAGGTGATGAGAAAACCCTCGGCCTGAGACCCTGGAGAGCTGTAAAGAGGGGCCGTGGCTCAGTGGCAGAGCCTCTGCTTGGCACGCAGAAGATCCTAGGCTCAATCCCCGGCATCTCCAGTTAGAAAGGACCAGGCAGGAGGTGATGGGAAAGACCTCCATCTGAGACCCTGGAGAGCTGTGAAGAGGGGCTGTGGTTCAGAGGTAGAGCGTCCGCTTGGCATGCAGAAGGTCCCCGGTTCAGTCCCCGGCATCTCCAGTTAAAAAGGACCAGGCAGGAGGTGATGGGAAAGACCTCCGCCTGAGACCCTGGAGAGCTGTAAAGAGGGGCTGTGGCTCAGTGGAAGAGCCTCTGCTTGGCACGCAGAAGGTCCCAGGTTCAATCCCCGGTAGCACCTCCAGTTAAAAAGGAACAGGGAGGAGGTGATGGGAAAGACCTCTGCTTGAGACCCTGGAGAACCATTGCTAGTCTGAGTAGACAATACGGGCCTTGATGGACCAATGGGTATAATGCAGTATAAAGCAACAAGTTGAAATTAAATCAAATAGAGTTTTCGGCTAAACATGAGGAAGAACGTCCTGACAGTGAGAGCGGTTCCTGGTTCCTCAGTGGAATAGGCTCCCTCGGGAGGAGGTGGTGGGCTCTCCTTCTTTGGAGGTTTTCAGACAGAGGCTAAATGGCCATCTGACAGCTGTGCTGATTCTGTGAACTTGGGCAGATCATGAGAGGGAGGGCAGGAAGGGTTGCCTCAGGGCTCTCCTGGCCCTTTTTTTACCTGCCCAGGGAAATGCTGATCGCCATGTTGGGGTCAGGAAGCAGTTTTTCTCCAGGCCAGTTTGGCGGGAGATCCCGGAGGGTTGTTTTTTTGTCATCTTCTGGGTGTGGAATAGTGGTCACTGGGGCCGTGGGGGGGGGAGGTATCTGAATTTCCTGCATTGTGCTGGGGGTTGGACTAGATAACCCTTGGGGATACCTTTCCGCTCTATGATTCTATGATTCACGTGTTCAAGATACCAGACACAAATGGTAGCCAGATTAGATTGCGTGTTCCTCATGTTGAAATCATGTCCCAGGCGAAGGTTCTCGTTGGCCTACCGTCCCATTTTGTTCAGTGACACTGTCCCTCTGTATCCAGAGATGGTGACTTCCGACATTCAGTGCCTTGCTGAACCTGCGCCAAAATTAAGGAAGGAAGGAAGGAAGGAAGGAAGGAAGGAAGGAAGGAAGGAAGGAAGGAAGGAAAAACTTTGGTGCAGTGATTAAGTGCGCGGACTCTAATCTGGGAGAACCGGGTTTGATTCCCCACTCCTCCGCTTGCAGCTGCTGGATGACCCTGGGCAAGCTATAGTTCTGTCAGAGCTGTTCTTGAAAAAAGAGCAGTTTCTGTCAAGAGCTCTCTCAGCCCCGCCTACCTCACAGGGTGTCTGTTGTGGGGAGGGGAAGGGAAAGGAGTTTGTAAGCCGCTCTGAGACACCTTTGGGTTGTGAAGGAGAGGGTATAAATCCAATCTCTTCTTCTTGTTTCCCTTGCATTTGGAGCAGTGCTCCCTCTAAGCTGTGGAGTCCTGTGAGCAAAAATTGTACCTTGTGAGCGACCGGCATTAAAGTTGTGAGCGAGCGATTTGGCTGCTGCCTAAATTAGTTAGCTCAAGGACGATGGCTCTGGAGCAAAGACAAAAATGTGTGAGCCGGAGGCTAAGAAGCTGTGAGCTAGCTCACCCTTAACTCAGCTTAGAGGGAGCACCGATTTGGAGTCCAAGCAATCTAGCGGGGCTCGGCTCCTCGATCACAATGCCTTGGTGTGGACTTCTCCTCTTTCCTGCCTGGACGATCCTGCCCAGTCCTGAGCACCTGCAGCCTCATCAGCATGTGCACATCTGGCCTGGACCGCGGGATGACAGCGCTCTCATTGTTCCCCCCTCTGACCCGGCAGGGCCAAAGATCGCAGTGGAAGTGACCCCAGCAGCCTCGACCAGCTGGACCGAAGGCCCTCCCTGCACTCCGCCCATTCAGACAGCAATCTCCTGACGGGTGAGTGGTGGGGAAGGTGGAAGGTTGGGACATGCAGGTTGGTGCACAGTGTGGGGGGGTATTGCCTGCTGAATTCCGCCTCAACTCTGTCTGCTCCTGGGGTGCAAAACAAGGGGCTCCAGCCCAGTGTTTCATGCCTGACATACCCCTGGAAATTCTCAGCTGCTTTGCAATGAAGCCAGTTTGGTGTCGTGGTTCAGTGCGCGGACTCTAATCTGGGAGAACCGGGTTTGATTCCCCACTCCTCCACTCGTACCTGGCTAGATGACCTTGGGCAAGCTGTAGTTCTGACAAGAGCTGTTCTCTTAAGGACAGTTCTGGAAAGAGCTCTCTCAGCCCCACCTACCTAAAGGAAAGGAGTCCTCTTCTACGTAAAGGAAAGGAGTCCTCCTCCTCCTCCTCCTCTTCTTCTTCAGAGCACGGACTCTATTCTGGGAGAACCGGGTTTGATTCCCCACTGCTCCACTTGCACCTGGCTGGATGGCCTTGAGCAAGCCATAGTTCTGGTCAGAGCTGTTCTCTCAAGGACAGTTCTGGAAAGAGCTCTCTCAGCCCCACCTACCCCACAGGGTGTCTGTTGTGGGGAGGAGAAGTGAAAGAGTTTGTGAGCCGCTCTGAGACACCTTTGGGTAGCGAAGGGCGGGATATAAATCCAATCTCCTCTTCCTCCTCCTCTTCTTCTTCAGAGCACGGACTCTAATCTGGGAGAACCGGGTTTGATTCCCCACTCCCCCAATTGCACCTGGCTGGATGACCTTGGCCAAGCCGTAGTTCTGATAGGAGCTGTTCTTGAAAAACAGAGCAGTTTCTGCCAGAGCTCTCTCAGCCCCGCCCACCTCCCACAGGGTGCCTGTTGTTGGGAGGGAAGGGAAAGGATATTGTGAACCTCTCTGAGACATCTTTGAGCCAGTTTGGTGTCGTGGTTAACTGCGCAGACTCTAATCTGGGAGAACCGGGTTTGATTCCCCACTCCTCCACTCGCAGCTGCTGGATGACCTTGGGCAACCCGTAGTTCTGACAAGAGCTGTCCTTGAAAAAGAGCAGTTTCTGTCAAGAGCTCTCTCAGCCCCACCCACCTCACAGGGTGTCTGTTGTGGGGAGGGGAAGGGAACGGAGTTTGTAAGCCGCTCTTAGACTCCGAGTGAAGGGCGGGGCATAAATCCAATCTCCTCCTCCTCCTCCGGTTGGGGCCCCCTCCTCAGCTAATTTTGGTTTGGGCTCAGTGTATCTTTTTATGGGCAAGTTTTTGAAAAGCTCCCCCGTTTCCTGCTGGGAAAAAATTACACATGTCCAGGTCATCGTAGGATCCAGTGAGACACTGTGACTTTTCATAAGCTGAGTCTGGTTTCCCTGGGCTGAACTCGTGTTCCTTGCAGTCCCACTGGAGCTGCGCGAACTGCCTTTTAAAGAGCCACTGGGGCCTGATTCCACTCGGGACCAAAGTGTGGGGGGGGGGAGGAGGAGGAGGAGGAGGCGGCGGCGGCCATAATCAGCCCTGTAGCCAGGCCTTTGTGGCTTGTGGGGCAAATTTTTTTTATGGTGGGGCCGAAGTTCTCAGCCCTACCTACCTCACAGGGAGGGTTCCCTCCAAGCTGAGTCAGTGTGAGCCAGCTCACGGTTTTTTAGCCTCCGGCTCACGCATTTTTGCCTTTGCTCAGGAAGGAGGCCTCCAGAGCAAACTAATGTATGCAGGAGCCCAATCACTCGCTCACAATTTTAATGCCAGCAGCTCACAAGGTGGAATTTTTGCTCACAAGACCCCACCGCTTAGAGGGAGCATTGCTCACAGGGTGTCTGTCTGTTGTGGGGAGGGGAAGGGAAAGGAGTTTGTAAGCCGCTCTGAGACTCCTTCGGGTGGTGAAGGGCGGGGTATAAATCCAATCTCCTCCTCCTCCTTTTTTCCCTCTTCCTCTAAATAAGATAATTTTCAGGGTATAAGCTCTCAAGAGCCGTGACGACGAAAGGAGCTTGGACTCCCGAAAACTCCAGACCCTGAAAACTTTGTTGGTCTCCGAGGTTCTCCTGGACTTGAGTGGGGAGCTCCTCTGCCGCTCTGCTATGCTCTGAAACTCTTCCCCAAACGAGCTTCTGTCCTTTCTCCCAGGCACAGGCAGCCCGGAGCCCTCGCCCGGGGTCCAGGACCGCACCCCGCTCCCCCCCTTGTCTCCCGTCTTCCGCACCGGCAGCGACCCCGTCCTGCGGCCGAACGCCCCATCGTCTCGTGCGCAGGGGGGTCTGGCGCTGAGCGGCTCGGAGGGGCGTCTGCATTCCAAGGCCCCGCCCAAGCCCCTGCGGGCCCCTTCCATGCTGGTGAGCGACTACTGCGAACTAGTCCCCAAGGCCCCCGAAGGCGCCCGGAGCCACGTGGAACGCCTGAGAGGGGAGGAGAGGTGGCGTGTCCGGGCTCACCTCACGGAGACCGCCTTTGGGTTCCTGGACTCAGACGGGTCTTGTCCCTCGCCTCGCCCGGGGGACGCGGAGGAGGAGGACCCGGGGTTTCAGCGGCCCCTCCTGGAGACGGCCTCCTCGTTCCAGCCTCGGCTCTTCCACTCGTTGCTTTTGCCTCCGGACAACAAGCCCTTGGATCCCAAGGCCCTCAAAAGCCTCAAGGGTCTCTTTGCCCAGCACGACTGCCGGACGATGGCCCTCCACATCCTACAGGTGGACTGCCAGGTGAGAAGGGTTGCCAAGTCGTTCTGACTCACCGGTGGGGGAGCGTTGCTTCGGTCCGGGAGCTGCCGAGGGATGTGTGCGCCAGAACGTCACAGGAAGTGACACACGACGTAGAGCACGTTGGGGGCGTGGCCCCAATCATTGGAGGGAAAACCATAGAGTTTCCCCTCCAACGATTGGGGCCACGCCCCCAACGTGCTCTACGTGGTTGCGTCACTTCCTGTGATGCACCCACGCTGCGCTTTGGGGGCGGGGTACCCCCCGGGGCTTAATTCCGCGGCGGTGGAAATCGGGCCTCCAAAGCGGGGGTTTACCCGCCCCCACTTGGCAGCCCTACAGGTGAGTGTGCAACTGCCAGGGGCTGGTCACTTCTGCTGCTGCTGCTGCTTTTCCTTATGATGAGGCAATCCCATTTTACAGATGGGAAAACTGAGGCCGGTGGCTTTTGCCCAAGTCTCTCCCCAGGGCTGGCAGCTAAGCATGATTTTTTTAATTAACAATTTTTTTTTATTTTACAATATTAGATACGTAATAATGCCATTATTTATTTATTTTATTTATTTATTAGATTTATATCCCGCCCTCCCCAAATGGGCTCAGGGTGGCTAACAACAGAGGCAAATGCCATAACAAACAATTAAAACAGCATAAAAACAACCAATAAATAAAGTGCGGTGCTCTTGATGTTAAATCTTATACAAACGTCGTTAAAACAATAATATAAACCAAACAGAAATTTCAAAAATAGATCAACTTTTGATAGTGCAGGTTACTTGGAATAATTTCTTTTTCTAACGGCAACCACCTCCCTAATTTCTTTTTCTAACGGAAACCCCCCCCCCCCTAGTAACAGGGGACCAAACAGCAACAGGTTTTTTTTTTTGTTATAATTTTCTGCTGATGAGTCTGATACATTAAAGGGCAATATTTGCTGAGCATAATTTGAACTCAGGCATGGTCTGTGCTGGACTGCCGGACGGGATAAAGCTTAAAAACTGTTGGGCCAGGAGTTGGGGGCAAGCTCCCTTCTCACATTGTGCGCTACAACTGACGGATCTGGCTTCTGGAATTCACAGTCATTCTTCACCTGGATTGCATGCATGGCCAGTTTAAGGGCGAAGGCCAATGCAGAGGGCGTTTGATACAGGTGCGGCTTCTACTATTTGGGAAGGGTGTGTGTCAAATACCCCATTTTTTAAAAACCAGGTTTTTCTGCAAACCTCTCCCCCCCCCCCTCAGGTTTGTGGAAAGATCTGCCTTGTCTGTCCATCATGGCCCCAATCTGTGGATTTAAGTACCCATAGATGTTGAGAATTAGACATATGGATGCTATTTTTACCATTTGCTGACCTTTAGGAAGGCCATGCGTTCTCCCACCGGAAGCAGCTTGCCTCCCCCTAAGAGCCTTCAACTGAAGTTAAGCTGGAATTAGGTCCCGGGGCAGAGACAGCGTATGGCCAATTCTTCCTGTTCATTTTTTCACTGCAAAAAACATTGCAGTCTTGCAGCAGTCCAAGAAATGTTACCTAAAAACTCTCCCAATGACTCGGGGCAGGTTCTTACTGGGTGGAATCAAAACAGGAATGGTATATGTAAAAGCCCAAACACATGCAACCCCCATATGTCCCCTGGAGAGGTTTACACTTGGTTGAACAACACCTTCTGGTAGGCCCAAAAGACATCTGTTTAGCATCGACCAGTGCCAGAGGTTTTTCAGCTCTGGCCTGGTGGAACCTGCTTCCAGTTGAGAGCAAGGCCCTGCGGGATTTATTACAATTCAGCCGGGCCTGTAAAATGGAGCTCTTCTGCCAGGCCTCCGGTGGAGGTGGTGGGTGGGTGTCCGATTACATTGGCTTCCCCTGCCCTGACCCCCGCCTGTGTTGCCCGTGGCACCAGCTGTGCCATAACCGTTGGCCTGGGCCACCTGCTGATACGCGGGCCCACCACACAGCCTGCACTCCGCTCCTGGGATCCCGCTGGCTTTGTTGAATTTTAGCTTGCCATCACTTGTTAAGTTGGTTTTGGTTTTAACTGGAACTATGTGGACGTTGTTTTATCTGTTTTATGAAGTTTGTTGTGACCTGCCCTGAGCCCACGTACGGGGGAGGGAGGGAGGGAGGGAGAGAGAGAGAGAGAGAGAGAGAGGAAGGAAGGAAGGAGGAAAGGAAGGAAGGTGGGAGGGAGGGAGGGAGGGAAGAAAGGCAGAGAGAGAGAGAGAAAGAAAGAAAGAAAATGAAGGAGGAAAGAAAGAAAGAAAGAAAGTGAAGGAGGGAGGGGAGGGAGGGAGGGAGGGAAGGGAGAGAGAGAGGAAGGAAGGAGGGAAGGAAGGAGGGGGGGGGGAAGAAAGAAAAGAGAAAGAGAAAGGAAAGAGGGAGGAAAGAATGGATGGAAGGAAGGAGGGATGGGAGGGAGGGAGAGAGAGGAAGGAAGGAGGGAAGGAAGGAGGGAGGGGGGAGGGAAGAAAGAAAAGAGAGAAAGAAAGGAAAGAGGGAGGAAAGAAAGGATGGAAGGAGGGAGGGAGGGAGGAAGGAAGGTGGGAGGAAAGAAAGAAAGGGAGGAGGGAGGAAAGAAAGAAAGAGAAAGAAAGAAAGAAAGAAGGGAGGGAGGAAGGAGGGAGGGATGGAGGGAGGGAGAGAGAGGGAGGGAGAGAGAGAGAGAGAGAGAGAGAGAGAGAGAGAGAGAGAGAGAAGCATCTGTTTTAGGTTCTGGATAGACCCAAGTGAGCTTCCAGTCAGAACACTGGTGGCTTGGCGCTTTGGTCAACTATAACTTGCAGCTTGCAATGTTGTTGGGAAGGGCAGTGGAACCCAGGGAAGAGGCTGGAAGGGAGTTTGGAGATGTGGAAATCGGTGGAAATGTTCTCTTCTTGAGCGTGTAGAACCTGTAGCTTGGGTCTGGCCGGACGTCTTGGCAGTCCGCAAGCTTCCCCGGGGGAGGGGGGGTCATCTCCTTCCTCTTCCTCCTCCCAGCATTGACCTCGAGCCCCCCTCCCTTTCTCAGGCTGCCTGGATCACCGGAGTCTCCAAGGAGCAGCGGCAGGCCATGGGGGTCAGCTCAGGCTTGGAGCTCGTAACGCTTCCTCAGGGGCACCAGCTGCGGAAGGACTTGCTGGAAAGGTATTGACTTCGGAGTCTTCTCCTCTGTGCTGCGCCTGTCGGGCCCTGGTGCCGACACTGCATACGGGGAGTGGGGTGGGAGGGATAGCATATTTTCGGAAGTGACATACCCACTTCATACAGGAGTGTGTATATGTGTAAAGTGTCGTTATGTCACAGCCGATTTATGGCGACCCCATACGCCTTTCAAGGCGAGTGAGAAGCAGAGGTGGTCTGCCATGGCCTTCCTCTGCAGAGCCTTCCTTGGTGGCCTCCCATCCAAGTACCGACCCTGCTTAGCTTCCCACTTATGGTGACCCCAGCAAGGGGCTTCCAAGGCAAGGGAGAAGCAGAGGTGGTTTGCCGTTGCCCTCCTCTGCAGAGCCTTCCTTGGTGGCCTCCCATCCAAGTACCGACCCTGCTTAGCTTCCCACTTATGGTGACCCCAGCAAGGGGCTTCCAAGGCAAGGGAGAAGCAGAGGTGGTCTGCCATGGCCTTCCTTTACAGAGCTTTCCTTGGTGGTCTCCCATCCGAGTACCGACCCTGCTTAGCTTCCAACTTATAGCGACCCCAGCTAGGGGCTTCCAAGGCAAGTGAGAAGCAGAGGTGGATTGCCCTTGCCTTCCCCTGTAGAGTCTTCCTTGGTGGTCCCCCATCCAAGACTTATGGTGACCCCAGCAAGGGGCTTCCAAGGCAAGTGAGAAGCAGAGGTGGTCTGCCATGGCCTTCCTCTGCAGAGTCTTCCTTGGTGGTCTCCCTTCCAAGTACCGACCCTGCTTAGCTTCCCACTTTTGGCGACCCCAGCAAGGGGCTTCCAAGGCAAGTGAGAAGCAGAGGTGGATTGCCCTTGCCTTCCTCTGTAGAGCCTTCCTTGGTGGTCTCCCATCCAAGACTTATGGTGACCCCAGCAAGGGGCTTCCAAGGCAAGTGAGAAGCAGAGGTGGTCTGCCGTTGCCTTCCTCTGCAGAGCCTTCCTTGGTGGTCTCCCATCCAAGTACTGACCCTACTCAACTTCTGCGATCTGATGAGATTGGGCTGTACTACCCTGTTCCACATCACCACCCACTTCATATAACCAAAGCAAAATCAAAACTTGGGCAAAGCACAGAAAGGAGCTGGGGACAGGCCAAGAGTTAGACCCGTTTCCCCACCACCCAATAAGCGCAGAAGGTGCGGGAAAAGACCAAGCAAATGTGCCCCTCCCTGTGGGTCTCTTTACCCCTTACCCAGGGTGGTGGCAGCGACGGTGGTGGTAGTAGTAGTAGTAGTAGTAATAATTGACATATGGCAGTGTGTGTAGCATAACCAGGAGATCCTAAGGTTGTCTGGCAGCCAGCAGTTCTAGCTCTTCTTTAGCATTATGCACCACTAGGTGGTGAGCTAGACTTGTTCTTAAGACAAGCTTGGCGTGAGCCACCTCCGCGCCTGTAGCTCCCTGGTGTCAAGAAAGGAGCTGGATTCTCCCCTGTCTCTGGACCCAGAAGGAGGGGCTTCCGGGAGAAGCAGCACCACTCAGGGTCCCTCCCCACTCTCTGTCGACCCCCAGGCACCACCTGATCGCCCTGGGCATCGCCGTGGATGTCCTGGGCTGCACGGGGGCCGTGGCCGAGCGGGCGGCCGCCTTGCAGAAGATCATCCAGCTGGCCGAGGAGCTCTGGCGGTCCGCGGGGGACCTCTTTGCCTTCTCCGCTGTGATGAAGGCCCTGCAGCTGCCTCAGGTAAGGATGGGAGGAGCAGGCTGAGTGGCACGGGGGCGGGGCTGTGGCTGTCGCTCAGGGGCAGGGTCTCCGCTTGGCCCGCGGAAGGTCGCCGGTTCAGTCCCCAGGCGCTCCAGTTAAGGATGAGGAGGAGGAGATTGGATTTATACCCCTGCCCTTCACTGGGGCTGAGAGAGCTCTCTCGAGGACTGCCCTTGAGAGAACAGCTCTGAGAGAACTTGCGACTGACCCAAGGTCACCCACCTGGCTGCATGTGGAGCGGAAGTGTGGAATCAAACCCAGTTCTCCCAGATTAGAGTCCGCGCACTTTATCACGACACCATAGTGGATCGGGTAGGAGAGCCCCAAAGCAGGTTACGTCCTTCTCCTATCCTCTGTTTTATCCTCGCAGCGACCCTGTGAGGTGGGAGTAGTCTGAGAGGGCGTGACTGCCCCGAGGTCACCCAGCGAGCCTCCGTGGCACAGGTGCGAGGATTCGAACCTGGGACTCCTAGTCCGGACACTCTTAACCCCCACACCGCAGTTGCCTCTCCAAAATTTGTTTCCCACGTAAACTCCTTTCCAGACTCCTTGCTTGAGCCTGTGTGTCAGACGCAAACATACAGAGCGGCGGGGTGTGTGTGAATCAAGAGACTTATGTTTGCTCCTCCACCCTCCCAGATCATGCGACTGGAACAGACATGGCGGCACCTGCGCCAGAACCACACGCGGAGCGCCATCGCCTTTGAGAAGGAGCTCAAGCCCCTCTTGGGGCGCCTGAACCGGGCCGAAGGTGAGTCTGGGTTGGCTTCTTTGCGTCTGGCGAGAAACCGGAGGTCACGTCATGCAAATGTTACCTGTCGGGACACTCGATGGGCCAGCTGGTGATGTCGAATAGCTCTTTCCATGTGCTTATAGGGAGGGGCTGTGGCTCAGTGGCAGAACCTCTGCTTGGCCTGCAGAAGGTCCCAGGTTCAATCCCCGGCATCTCCAGCTAAAAAGGACCAGGCAGGAGGGGATGTGAAAGACCTCCGCCTTAGACCCTGGAGAGCTGTGAAGAGGGGCTGTGGCTCAGTGGCAGAGCCTCTGCTTGGCATGCAGAAGGTCCCAGGTTCAATCCCCGGCATCTCCAGTCAAAAGGACCAGGCAGGAGGTGATGGGAAAGACCTCCGCCTGAGACCCTGGAGAGCTGTAAAGAGGGGCTGTGGCTCAGTGGCAGAGCCTCTGCTTGGCATGCAGGAAGTCCCAGGTTCAATCCCCGACACCTCCAGTTAAAAAGGACCAGGCAGGAGGTGATGGGAAAGACCTCCACCTGAGACCCTGGAGAGCTGTAAAGAGGGGCCGTGGCTCAGTGGCAGAGCCTCTGCTTGGCATGCAGAAGGTCCCAGGTTCAGTCCCCTGCAGCATCTCCAGTGAAAAAGGACCAGGCAGGAGGTGATGGGAAAGACCTCCGCCTGAGACCCTGGAGAGCTGTAAAGAGGGGCCGTGGCTCAGTGGCAGAGCCTCTGCTTGGCATGCAGAAGATCCCATGCTCAATCTCTGACATCTCCAGGTTAAAAGGATCAGGCAGTAGGTGATACGAAAGACCTCCACCCGAAACCCTGGCTCAGGGGCAGAGCATCTGCTTGGCATGCAGAAGGTCCCAGGTTCAACCCCAGCATCTCCAGTCAAAAGGACCAGGCAGGACGTGATGGGAAAGACTTTCAAGAGTCGTAACTCCTGATGGAGCTTTGGCGGAGGTATCTGACGAAGGGAGTTTTGGCTCTCGAAAGCTCATCCCCCCCCCAATCTTGTCATCCTCTAAGGTGCTCCTGGGCTGGAATCGAGCTGCGCAAAAGATGAAAAAGTAACAAAATGTGCACAGTTTCCCTGCAGCTGGATTCGAGTCCATTATCATCTGAGCCACCAAATGAGGTTTTCGGGGGCAAGCTTCAATTTGAGAGTCAGTTCCCTTCCTCAGACTTAAGAACATAAGAGAAAAGCCAATGTTGGATCAGGCCAGTTGCCCATCCAGTCCAGCACTCTGTGTCACACAGTGGCCAAAAACACCAGGGGCCATCAGGAGGTCCAGCAGTGGGCCCAGGAGGACACCAGAAGACAGAGCATCCCTTGGCCCAGACCAAGAGTTCCTATCTATGCCTTGTGGCTAAGAGCCACCGATGGACCTCTGCTACAGATGTTTATCCAATTCCCTCTTATAAGAACATAGGAGAAGCCAATGTTGGATCAGGCCAATGGCTCATCCAAAAATACCAGGTGCCATCAGGAGGTCCAGCAGTGGGGCCAGGACACTAGAAGCCCTCCCACTGTCCCCCCCCCCAAACACCAAGAATACAGAGCATCACTTGCCCCAGAGTCCCTATCTATACCTTGTGGCTAATAGCCACTGAGGGACCTCTGCTCCATATGCCTATGTAATTCCCTTTTGAAGCCGCCCATGCTTGTAGCCGCCACCACCTCCTGTGACAGTGAATTCCAGGTGTTAATCACTCTTTGGGTGAAGAAGGACTTCCTTTTATCCATTCTAACCTGACTGCTCAGCAATTTCATGGAATTCTTGTCTTGTGAGAAAGGGAGAAAAGGACTCCTTTCTCCACCTGCTCTGTCCCACGCATAATCTGATAAACTTCGACCATAATCTTATAAACCCCATCTTGCCTGCCGTTCATTCCTCTGCAGGGCACTGAAAGTCCTGCCAGATGATTAATGGAAACCTCTGTGGTTTCTGAGGCTTCACCGGTCATAGGCGCCTGGGCACGAAATGCAAAATTGCTCACTCTTCTAAACGGCAGCCGAGTTTTGCATTCCTCGCCACCATCCTGGGGCTTTTTTGAGCGCGTGCAGCGTTGCTCTATGCAGTCACGGTCGGGAGACCTCTGTGGTCTGTCTGGGAATGCTTCTAGACGGGGGTCATTTCGTAGAAAAAGAGGTGCAGGAGCTCATTAGCACAACTCATTTGCATATGCCACACCCCCTGACCTCACCGGAAGTGTGTCAGAAGGCAACACCAACCGCTCAGGCGCCACTGGACTGTTTTGGATTGCTAGCTATTGGGGGGGGGGAACGTGCAGATCTGTCCTCACAGAGGAGGGAGAGCTTGTACCTGAATAAAACTTGGCCTTAAAGGTGCCACTGGACTCTTTTGGGCCAGGGGGGCGGGGGGCGGGGCTCTGCAACTTACCTGGCTGCTTCATGCTCTGACTGAGGGTTGCTGGGAGCAGGGGGCGGGGCTTGTTGCATATGCTTACAAAAAGCAAACTTCGAATCCTTCTGGAGCAACGGTGATCCACTATAGAACAAATTTAGAGTCCAGTCAGGCGCCTTTAAGACCAACAAAGGTTTATTCAAAGTATGAGCTTTCGTGTGCAAGGCACAATTTTTTCAAATATTTGAAAAATAGTTCAAGCATTTGACAAATTGTGCTTTGCCCACGAAAGCTCATGCCTTGAATAAACCTTTGTTGGTCTTAAAGGCGCCTGACGGGACTCTAAATTTGTTCTACTGCTTTTAGACCAACATGGCTGGACATCTGGGGGATCCACGTGGACAGTCCGTGCCTCTTGGACGCTGAGTTTCTGAGCATTCCGTTGTGAAGCGGCTTTATCCGGAGTCAATACTTGAGCCTTTTTCTTGAAGCAGCCCTTTCTGCCGGGGTGTGTGTGTCCTCTTTCCCAGCCCTGTCGCTTGCCATCTTAACCACTTGGAAGTCCCATCAATTGAACCCAGGCCCTTTTGCGTGCCAAACACACGCTCTCTGCCTCCCAGATCTGCCCTTCTTTGAATCTTAGGATCTTAGGATGCATTAAGAGAAGGATTGTGTTTAGATCACGGGAGGTGGTAGTGGACTAGATGACCTGCAAGGTCCCTTCCCACTCTAACATTCTATGATTCTATGAAGCCGCTTCTTAATTATGCCGTGATCTGTGATCGATTGTTCTCTTGTGTGTCCCACAGGGAATGCGGTCCCCTCCTGGCTCACAAACTCCTTTCCCTTCCCCTCCCCACAACAGACACCCCCCCTGTGAGGTAGGTGGGGCTGAGAGAGCTCTTGACAGAAACTCCTCTTTTTCAAGGATAGCTCTTATCAGAACTACGGCTTGCCCAAGGTCATCCAGCCAGGTGCAAGCGGAAGAGTGATTAACACATGGAATTCACTGCCACAGGAAGTGGTGGCGGCTACAAGCATGGACGACTTCAAAAGGGAATTAGATAAGCATATGGAGCAGAGGTCCATCAGTGGCTATTAGCCACGAGGTATAGATAGGGGCTCTGGGGCAAGGGATGCTCTGTCTTCTTGGTGCTTGGGGGGGTCAACAGTGGGAGGGCTTCTAATGTCCAGGCCCCACTGGTGGACCTCCTGATGGCCCCTGGTATTTCTGGCCACTGTGTGACACAGATGAGAAACTAGTGTTATGTAAATAGCCTGTCGTTGGGAGTTGGGTGTGGTTTTTGCATGCTATTGAAACAGGGCTGTGGCCCTGGTGTTTTTAGTCTTGTTCCTGAAATCGCTTAATAAAGTAGAGCTGTTCACTGCAGTGTGTCTTGAACCCAGTATTTAACACAAATAGCATGGGGTGGGGGCAGAAGGTAGTTCTTTGCTTTGTCCTGGGAGTAAGAATCCCTTGCCCCGGGCCAGACATGAGTTTTATGGCAGAGAAGACACTGAACTGAGGGTCTTTGACTCTGAAGCATGAGCTGGTCCACCTCCGACTCCTGCCACCAGTCTCTGGGGAGGATTTGCTGTTTGACGGCCAGGCGCTGGGCATCCTCCCTTGCCTGCCTGCCTCTCGCCTCTTCCCTGGAACCGCAGTATTTAATACAAATAGCATGGGGTGGGGGCAGAAGGTAGTTCTTTGCCATTGGACTCTTAACTTTGTTGTTAGACTGCCTGTTTCTTTGCCAGTTTGGTGTTGTGGTTTGGGTTGGGAGCCACTCTGGTGTCGCGGTTAAGAGCACGGACTCTGAGCTGGGAGAACCGGGTTTGATTCCCCACTCCTCCACTTGCAGCTGCTGGCGTGACCTTGGGTCAGCCACAAGTTCTCTCAGAGCTGTTCTCTCAAGGGCAGTCCTCGAAAGAGCTCTCTCGGCCCCACCTGCCTCACGGGCAGTGTTCCCTCTAAGCTGAGATAGTGTGAGGTAGCTCATAGCTTTTTAAGCCTCTGGCTCGCACATTTTTGCCGTTGCTCAGGAAGGAGGGCTCCAGAGCAAGCGAACTGATGCAGCAGCCCAATCGCTCGCTTACAACTTTCATGCCAGCAGCTCACAAAGTAGAATTTTTGCTCACGAGACTCTACAAGCTTAGTGGGAGCATTGCTCACAGGGTGTCTGTTGTGGGGAAGGGAAGGGAGTTTGTGAGCCGCTCTGAGACTCCCTTGGGTAGTGAAGGGTGGGGTAGAAATCCAGTCTCTTCTTCTTCTAATTCTGAGTCTGCTTCTTTCCCTCTACACCGAAACTTGGCAGGCCTCACCTTGTCCCCTGCTGGGGGTAGTGAGTGTGTGTGTGCATCCATCCCCTCGGGCGTGACGTGGTGGCAGGCTGATGCCTCGGGCGGACACTGCGAGTGGGTCATTAGGCCTCAGAGCTCCCTGAGCAGGCCAATCCCGGGTCCTCAGAGCATGTATTGGCTGCATAGCCCTCGGCCCCCGCGTGACTCTCCCCCGACACTCACCCCTTCGGCCCTGTCTCTTCTGCCCTCTGCAGGGTTCCAAGCCATCCCTGAGCTCCGGGAAGCCTTCCAAACAGAGTTCGCCCTCCTGCTGTTCTGGGGCAGCAAAGGAGCCGAAGCAGACCGGACGGAGCGGCATCGGAAATTCGACAGGATCCTGACTGTCCTTTCCCAGAAACTCGAGTGAACGGGCGCAGGGGCCGGATCGGTCTGCCCTTCTCCCACCCCGCCGAGGAGTGAATGAACGCGACCTCCTGGGAATTCTGAAAAGCCCAGGAACTAATTACCAGGAGCCGCGGGGCGTTGCTGCGTCCGCCCGCTGTTGTGAGCTTTGCAGACTGCACAGAGAGCAGGTTTTGGAGTGGTGAAGTTCATCAGCAGAGAAGAAGAAGAAGAGATTGGATTTCTATCCCATGGCCCTTCACTACCCAAAGGAGTCTCAGAGCGGCTTACAAACTCCTTTCCCTTCCCCTCCCCATAACAGACACCCTGTGAGGTTGGTGGGTCTGAGAGAGCTCTTTTGAGGACTGCTCTGAGAGAACTTGTGACTGACCCAAGGTCACACCAGCAGCTGCAAGTGGAGGAGTGGGGAATCAAACCCGGTTCTCCCAGAGTCCGTGCTCTTAACCAGGAGCCCACCTTTCCCTGCTGCCACTGTAGGACGCATTCTTCTGGTGTGGTGTGAACAAGCAAATCCTTTCCCTCTTCCTCCTGTAAAGCCAGGCAGGGTCCCTGCAGCCTGAAACGGTTGAGTCTCCCAGTGGACCAGCCACTGATGGGGACAGACACAGGCTGTGTTCCCTCTAAGCTGAGTTCGTGTGAGCCAGCTCAGTTTTTTAGCCTCCAGCTCACAGATTTTTGTCTCAGCTCAGGGAGGAGGGCTCCAGAGCACACTGATTTGTGTGGTAGCCGAAGTGCTCGCTCACAACTTTAATGCCGGTAGCTCACAAAGGAGAATGTTTGCTCGCAAGACTCCACAGCTCAGTGGGAGCGTTGGACACAGGCCCCTTCCGCCCACCTTTATTGTTTTAGGCGCCTGGGTATCCCCACCTCTTCTTTTTTTTTTGGGGGGGGGAAGCAGAGGTCCTTCGGCCTTCCTGTCTTAACTCTCCCGCAAATGGGAACTCGCCCTCTTTGCCTGCTTCCTTTTCCTCTGGCCTCGGCTTTAATTAGTCCCAATTACGGAGACATTTCCTAGACGGCGAGAGCCTGGGAACGGAGAAGAAAGCATGCAGACAGCGAGACGGGTGGGGAGGGGGAGTTCTGGACACAAAGGAAGCCATTCGGGTGGAGCGGCAGCCCCCTCTGGCCG